TCTAGGGCGGGACCCTGGGCGTGGGGGGAAGGGAGGGCTTTGGGCCCGTCTGGATGTGCAGAGTTGGGTCTTCCAGAAGCCTGAGGCAGCCCAGCTTGGCGAGTGCAGGGGGCTGGCGTCTCGCCGGTCCAGCCTCCTTCCTATTGCCCTACCTCTTACGCTGCTGTCGCAGGCGAAATTCTTCTGTGCAGTCCAGGGGGAGCTGAACTTTTGCAACAGAATGGGCGCCCAGGAGATGCACCAGCGCCTGGAGCACCTGAAGAAGGGCATCCACCGCGTGTACCTCTATTCCCAGGGTGAGGCTCCATCTCTGCCTGGCCCAAGTAACCCAGCAAACCTGACCCAGGACCCCTTGTCCCTGAAGTCTTCATTATGAGAATGAACATACACAAAACTAGGGGCTACAGGGAGCACTTAAGTACCTGTCACCGAGCTTCAGCAACTACCCCTGTCTTGCCATGCTTGTGTCACTCTCTATACACCCTTTAAGGGAAATCTTAGACATCACTGTATTCCTGAATACTTTTGAGTGCTTCTTAATTAAAAAAAAAAGAGTTTCTGACAAAATCACAATGTCAAACCTGACATAATTAACAACAGTTCCCTAATACTAACTGATGCTTAGTCCATATTCAGATCTCGAAGAAGGTTGATAGAAGTCTTTCTACACTTGCCCTGTCATTTCAGGACCCAAGAAAGCCCACACATCGGTTTGGGTGTTAGGCCTCAGGTTTCTCTTCACTAAGGAGGCTAGGTCACATAGTAAGTCGTGGAACCTGGACTTGAACTCAGGTCTGGGTTGCTATAGGATACAGGCTCTTAGCCTCCAGGACAATGCTCCCTGGTATTGATTATCACAATCCTAGATGAGCTGTTCTTGTGGGGGGTATGAGGAGCTTTTTGACCTCCACTTTGCTGGTAGTCTTCAACTCTGAACAGTAAAAGTAGCCAGACTTGTTGAATACAGGAGGACAACCTAACATGGAGAGAGGAGAGGGGGCAGACCCCAGGGTCCTTCCCCTCAAAGATTCCCTTCCTGAGCCCTTTCTGCAAGACCTCCATGTGGGTTTTCTCATAGAAGGACCTTTTGTACGCCCTCAGGACAGCCCTGCGGTTGGGTACTGTCAGTGGGCTCGTTGTCCAGGACCTGGATTCCCAAGAGTACCGGCAGATTCAAGCACTTTCCATGATGCTTAGAGGGTGGTGGCAGCAGACCAACCTGCCCAGGCCAAGCCCAGCCCTCCTTGGCAGTGACACTCTTACCACTTCCCATGAAATTCTGCCCTTGAAGCCAGACAGCTTGGTTGTGGATCCTGCCTGTGCCTTGTACAGTTGGAGTTTCTGGTTCCCCTTGAAGATAGAGACAAAAGTACCCTTTCCACGTGGGGCAGCTGTGGTGCTGAGATGGTGCACGTTGGTGCCTGTCAACAGTGGTTCTAAACATTGCTATGTGGTGCCCTTTGGGGGATCTGCCTCCCCTCTTTCTTGGAATACCCCACACCATCGTGCCTGGCCCCATCCTAGATGAGCTGAGGGGTAGGCACTCACTGGCACCTTTTGTCACAGATGCCAAGAAGAAGAAGAGGAGAAGGAAGCCAAAAGTGAAGAAACCAGGACCTATCCTCTTGAGGAACCAGTCAACCTCCCCATGCCTGCCACCAACACTGTTGCCACCTCCGCCCCTGCCGCTGCCTCCGCCACTGCCACCACCTGCCACCACCATACCCTCTGTGGTGGCCCCGCCACCCCCTGTCTACACTATGCCCAGGGTCTTTGGCCCCTTTCCTGCACTGCGTAGCAAGTCGGTCAGTGGGTGTATTGCCCTCTCCATACAGCCCTGGGAGGGGCAGCCTGCTCAGAACCATCCCCACAGCTCTTCAGGGCCCACAGCAGTGACTCTCAAACTTTCTTTCTAAGCAGCAGAGCCCTTTTAAAGACTGCAGGCAAACAGATAAAGTGATAAAAGGGGGGCTACTCTGATTGAAGAGTTGGGGTGGGGGTTGAAGGCACAGAGCTCTACCTGCTTGGCCTCAGCCGAGCAAAGCAGCCCCAAATGAACCAGGTAGAATCCTAGAGCTGCCAAAGGACAGGTGGAGAACCACGGGCCCCCTGCTGTGTCTCTCCCCTAGGGTGTCATTCTCTTGTAGTGCCCTTCCTGCCCTCCTGCTCCTCCTGACTCCTACTTCCCCAACACACTCACTCCAGCCGGCCACCCCACCCCCAGGCTGGATTAGGACCTTCTCAATTGTCTCCTAGCCCCCATCCAGTTTGGTCTTCCTAACGCCAAGCTCAAGGTGGGCGCAGAGGATGAGCCTGACATGTTTGCTGATTGAATGAAAGTCGCATAGTTTTCATACAGGTGATTTTTTTTTTTTCATGGTAAGGCCCCCAAACTTGTCCTGAGATTACCTTTGTTTCCTGCAGACAGAGAAATTGGGAATTTCAAGTTCTGAAGTGAAATTAAACTGGACTGGCCTGTCATCGAACCCAAGGAGGTAAAGGGAATTTATTCTGGGCTTGACGCAAGTGAAAGGGAGCATTTGGGGGAGCATCCTCTGTGCCGGGCTCAGCTATTATTTCTTCCCACCTCTTAGTTAACCCTCACCATAGTCCTGAGTGGTTATTCTCTGTCCAGGGAAGGAGTCTGGGCTCAGAGGTCTCTGTCCCCATGTCAGAGTGGTGCCCTCCAAGACTGGGGACACCCTGCCTGGGAGGATCCCAGAGTTGACAGTGCCTTTCTGCCCTGTCTTGCAGCCGCATGGTTGATCTGACCCCCTTGGTTCTCAATCCTGGAGGCTTCCATTTCTCGTATCTGCCCAGAAACAGTGTGCAGAAGCTCCATTGCCCTGGCTTCCCGTGGTAAGTGTGCTTCTGAGCCTCTCTTCGGCCAGAAACAGTCCTGGCTCAGCCCTGCTTCACCTCTGCCCAGCTTTGTTGTGGTGTGGCCAAGGGCTGGACAAATGTTCTTTTTTTTTTTTTTACAAATATTCTTCCACTTCTAGGAAGGACCCTTATGTAATCAGAGGTGCTGGAAAAGTTGCTCCCTAGTGTTTGTAATGGTGAGAAATCAGAAACAAACAGCTCAGAGGCCAACAGAAAGGGAATGATTCTATCCACTGTGGGCAGCCCTATGATTTATATGCATGCGTGTTTTGCAAAGCAGGGATTTACTGAATATGGGATTTAAAAAAATTGCCCGTGTTTTCACTTACAGATATTAAGTATTTTCTGTATCATTGTTATTCCAAAATATGATTTAGACTGTTTCATTGCATCAGATGACTTTTTTTAACAGCCTTATTGAGATATGATATTTATATGTCATATAATTCACCCACTTAAAGTATACAATTCAGTGTTTTTAGTATTTCACAGTTATGATCCATCACCACAATCAATTTTAGCACATTTTCATCACCCCAAAAAGAAGCCCTTTAGCCATCACCCCTCTATTCTCCCTCCTCCAGCCCCTGGCAACCACTATAGATTTGCCTATTCTGGACATTTCATATAAATGGAATAACAAGATAGGTGGCTTTTTAATATTTGGCCTCTTTCACTTGGCATAAAGTTTTTAAGGTTCATCCATGTTGTAGCATGAATCGTTACTTAACAGTTTTTTAAAATATATTTTTGTCTTTTAGAGTAGTTTAGGGTTCACAGTAAAATTAAGCTAAAAGTGCAGAGTGTTCCCATATGCCTCCTGTCCTTGCCCCATAGTATCCCCACTGTCAACATACCCACCAGACATTTATTACAAGCTAGGAACCTACAGTGATACTTTATAATCATCTGAAGTCCATAGTTTACATTAGGGTTCACTCTTGGTGGTGTACATTCCATGGGTTGAATTTCTTTTTGTGGTTGAATAATATTTCATTGTATGGATATAGACTACATTTTATTTATCCATTTGGGTTGTTTCCTTTTTTTTGCTTTTATGAACGATGCTGTTATAAACTTTGTGTATAAGTTTTTGTGTATATAGTTTTCACTTTTCTTGGGTATACTCCTAAGAGTGGAATTGTTGGGTCATATGGCAACTCTGTGTTTAGTAATTTGAGGAACTGCCAAACTCTTTTTCAAAGCAGCTGCATCACATTACATTCCCACAAATAGTATATGAGGTTCCAATTTCTCCACATCCTCATTAACACTTGTCTGTTTTAAAAAATATGTATGTTTTTTATATTGATTTTTAGAGAGAGGAAGGGAGAAGGAGAAACATCAACTGCCTCTAACATGCCCCCTACTGGGGATCAAGCCCACAACTCAGGCATTTTTTCCATTACTGTACCATTGGTGTGTCTTTACTTGTTGGAATATCCAGACCTACCTCATTCTTTAAACAGCTCCAGAATAGTCTACTGCATGGCTGTACCTTGGTTCCTGATGGAAGTTTAGATTGTTTCCAGGTTTTCACAATCAGAGTATTGCTGCAGCGAGCAGCCTTGAACATTCTTGGGAGAGATTTCTGGAAGTATAAATGTATTTAGAGCCATCCCACAGCCTGCAACCGGGGCTGTTTCATGTGTACTTCTTTTTTGTTGTTTTGCTGTTGTTAATCCTCACCCGAGGATATTTTTCCCATTGATTTTTAGAGAAAGTGGAAGAGAGGAGGGAGAGAGAGAGAGAAACATCCACGTGAGAGAGACACATCTATTGGTTGCCTCCCTTACATGCCCCAACTCCCAACTGGGGTTGGGGATCGAGCCTGCAATGGATTCCTGCCCTTGGCTGGAATTGAACTCACAACCCTTCAGTCCGAGGGCCAGTGCTCTAACCAGTGAGCCAAACCAGCTAAATGTGTTTTTTATTAATTTTTTTAGAGAGAGAGGAAGGGTGAGAGAGAGAAACATTGATCGGCTGCCTCCTGCATGCAACTTACTGGGGACAGAGCCCAAAACCTGGGCATATGCCCTGACCAGGAATTGAACCAGCAACCTCTCGGTTCATGGGATGACACTTAGCCAACTGAGCCACACCAGCCAGGGCTGTCACGTGTACTTCTGATGGCCCTGTGTGCTGGTGTCCCACCTCTCATGGACATGTCTTGATTGTCTCCTGCACAGGACCTCACCCTATAGTGACTCCCCCAACACTGAGGAGACACCATCCCATTCAGTGAAGACCTCTGTTTTCACTCCACCTGTCCTGCTCAAGTTCCAGCCTGTGCCCAGACCTAAAGATGACTCAGAGAATGACCCTGGCAGCGCAGAGTCTGTGCCCCACAAGAGGGGCCCATAACTTCTTCCCTACAGACTGTGGTGGAGGAGTGAATAAAGTTCTCATGGAGCTGCCTTTCATGCTGTGCTCCCTAGGGGCTGTGCAATCCCATGGGATCCCTCCAGCCTGAAGAGGTTGTCAGGGTAATGCCATCCTGAGGCCTGCTTGCATACAGTAGATGGTCAGGTCAGTGCTACTGTGACATTCCCTCATTTTCAATCTAACATGGGAATTCAGCCACGTGCACTTTGAAAGAGAAATGAGTGAGAAGAGAGTGCTGCCTTCCCCTGCAGCAACTCTGTGACCCCTCACTTGACCTCATTGAGTTGCAGGTTTACCTTTTCCCCCCCTACACCTGGCCCCTAAACACAAGCCTTATTTGGGTGCAAGTTTAGAAACAGTGATGTGTTCTTTCCCTAGAGGAAAATGAGCTGGTGTGTCAGTTTCCAACTTGGCACCTCCCTAAGGAATTTCAAAGATAGTGACTCTAGTTGTTGCCTTACACACTGACCTTAGAATCAAACATGCATGTGAGATGTGAGTCCTCACAAAATGTTTGATGACTGCTGGACATTAGCAGATATTCATTGAGCCTTTGTGTATGCCCCACAACTTGCTTGGGACTGGAGATAATAAACCAAGCGGTTGGGGCCCCTTCCCTTAAGGAGCTTACATCCCATCCTTCTCTGTGTGTGTGGTAAACCAGTATATAGATCAAATTAATACAGGATTTCAAGTTGCCATAAGCATTATGAGAACTGACATAGAGATGTATGG